TCAGTATATTCCTTCCATCTTCTTTTGATACCTCCTGGATCATTTAACATTCTGCCTAAAGCATCCTTGGTTGTAGCAACTTGAGGTTTGAATTTGCTCTTCAGTTCCTTGAGCTTACTTGGGAAATCTGTCAAGGACCTCTCTAAAGTGCTAAAAAGTAAGGATATCAGTTGAATTGCTAAGGTGTGATTGATGTAAACAATGGTATTTCTAATTGCTTCCCATGCATCTGAAAGTTGGACAATGAATAAAGATGATAGAAGAATTCAGGCCTTGGAATGGTGGTGTTGGAGAAAAGCAATGAAAATCCCACGGATGGCTAAAAGAACAAATACGCCTTGCACAAAGTGCAACCAGCATGCTTCTTGGAGGCAAAGATGGTGAAACTTCATCTCACATGCTTTGGGCATGTTGTCAGGAGGGACCCCAGTCCTTGAAAAGGAGCATCAGTCTGGAAAAGGTGGGGAATAAGAGAAAGGGAAGACCTTCAAAGAGATGGATTGACAGAGTGTCTGTAACGATAGGCTAGAGTATACCTGAGATGGTGAAGATGGCTCAGGATAAGACAAGAGTCAGATCTGTTGTTCGTAGAGTCCCTGTGACTCATAGTTGACTTAAACACCGAACAGCAACAACAGAGTAATGGAAATAGCTTCAGCCTTCCAGCCTTATAAGCTAAGTCATTGCAAACCTCTCTGAAATAACAACTGTTTGATCTTCTGTCACGTGGGTCAGTCTAAGCCTTGAGAAGCAAATATGGGCCTGGGACCAAAGGGATAAAAAGGGACCCTCCAGCAGCCATTCTTAAGAACTCAAACCTGAATATTTCGCTGTGTTTTTTGGAAAATACTGACATTTCTAAAACTGAAACCAAGAGGAGAAACTCCTAAAAATAAAGGTAAAGGGATTGTAAATAGATTAAATGTCTCAAGGACATCTTTAGCCTATTTATTTTTTTTTAAAAATCATTATGATGAGAAATGGAAAATTTATATATGTGTGTTTGTGTGTATACATGTGTGTATATATCCATTTAGATAGATGTTGTCATATGCTGTAGAATCAGAATTGACTCATAGCTGACCCTCTAGAAGGTTTTCAGAGGCCGTAGATCACATGGGAGGAGACTGCCCATTTTTCTCCCATGGAGTAGCTGATAGATTAAACTGCTTGCCTCTGGGTGAGCAGCATAACTCCTTACCACTAGGTTGACTGAGCTCCCTGGTAGATAGATTTAGAAAATATGATAGGTAGGTAGAGATCTATAGCTAAATAAAACATGGTGACAGTGCAAAATGTATTGGACTAATAATTGAAAGGTCAGCAGTCTAATCCACGCATTCCTACAAGCGATAAAGATAGGCAGTCTTGTTTCATAAAGATGGACAGCTGAACAACCTGATGGAGACACACAATGAGTCAGAGCTGATTCAGTGGCATAGAGTTTGTGTTTACACACACACAACCTATGAAGGTGTGTATCAGTGTGTGTGTGCTCAGTTCTAGAAACTATTTTTTCTTAAATGGAGAATCTGTTGCAGTATTTTCTATTTTAACGCTTTCTCATGAATGCAGACACACCAAGCCATAGGAAAAGTGGGAGGATGTCCCATTCTCCAAGTGAGTGTTGGGTTTCTGCGACTCTGAGGCTTCAGATCTAACTAGCACATGAGGGGCCTATCACGGTGGGATGTCCTCCATGTATGTGGGCTCCCACCCACTGGGGTGCACACCCATGGTTGAGGAGAACATTATGAGAGATGAGGGTCCTGCCACAGAAACTCCGTCATGCACAGTGTAAAAACATCACAGTGCCTCGCACAGTGGTGAAACTCCACGGGAGATTATCAGGTCCAAAAAGGAAAAGAAGGAAGTGCAGAGAAAGGAGTTGCTATGACCACTTTTCTCTCTTCCCCAAGTCCTAAGCCACAGCCTCCTGAGGGAGTCAAGTCCAACCCTTCCAAAAGGCACCGAGAACGCCTAAATCAGGAGCTGAGCAAACTGACCACTTTGCTGCCTTTCCCCGAGGATGTGCAGGCCCGACTGGACAAGCTCTCCATCCTCAGGCTCATCGTGGGCTACCTGAAGGTGAAAGGCTACTTCTCAGGTAAGTGTCGCTGGTAGTTCCTCAACAAAGAGCAAAAGGTGCCCCTCCACCTGCCAGCTCCCCGGAGGAGCCCCAGGACCTGAGCACTGACTGAGCTCTCACCCTCTGTCCAGGTGGAACCTGTGCAATCCCCTCTAACTGTCAGGCTCAGTGCAGATACTTGGTGAACAGAAATGAGGGCTCTGCCTTACCTCGTTGGGTTGTTTGGGAAAGGAGATGGACTCAGATTTTCCTGGCTATGCTAGTCAGCACCAACCTTCACAGAACAGTGGACTGGCCCTTTCCTCACTTTGTTTTGTTGCTTCTGTGAGAATCCAGGTGTCCCTTCATCTACAGAGCTCTGGTTCAAAACAAAGGACCCATTTTTCCCTGAAGCTCTGATGTGGACTTATATATGATTTCTTCAATTATAAATTTCTCATCTTCTTGATGATTTCTTTTTCCAAAAGTCTCTATCAGTGGGCATCAGTTTATACTTATGGTGTTGTTACTTAAGATACACATTTTTTCCCAACTCTTCTTGCAGTTGGAACTTGTATACACCTACAATCTTATAACTAGGCACATTTTTAGGGAGGTCTGATAGTGTTGTCCATGGGGAGCTGCACTGCTAAGCCAAAGGCTTCACCTTTCTGGTGTTTTGGATCCACCAGTGCTCTGCTGAAGAAAGACAGACATTCTTCTTCTGTGCAATTTACAGCCTCAGAAACCCAGTGGATGGTCAGCTATGAGTCTGTTCTGACTTGGTGATAATGAGTGAGTGAATGAGTATGATTCACATTTTTATTTCTAAAGGATATTTTTGCTAAATATGGAATTTAAGAGGCCTGGTTTTTCCATTTTAACATTTTAAATATGCCTTTCCTTTATCTTTTTCCCTTGCTTCCTTGGGATGAAAAGTAATCTGTTATCCTTACCACAGTTCTCCTGTAAGTGACATGTCTTTTATTTCCTCTGTTTGCCTTTTCTTTTTCTCTTTGGTGTTGAACAGGTTTTGCATAATTTTCAGTGTGTTTTCCTGATTGAGGTTCGCACAGCTTCTTTTTTTATCTGTATTGTAGTTTCTTCTCACAGATACAATAAATATTTCTATGATTAAAACAAAACCACACAGTTGTTCTAAGAGGCATTTCCAACAATGTGAGCCTATAGGCGAAGCCCCATCGAGATAGACCTCACAGAGCTCCTTGAGTGCTCTGTGGAAATCTGGAAATTCATGCCCAAATTTCCATCAGTTTTTATAAACTTCTGGCCATTTTCTCTTAAAACACTTTTTTGGCACACTTTTCTCTCCTTCCTTACCTAATGAGATTCAAATTGCATGTATGATGATGTTGTTGCTGCTGATGTTAAGTGTTATTGAGTCACCTAAGGCCCATAATGACCCTAGATGCAGCAGCTCTGAAGCCTGCCCTGTCCTGAACCCGTCCCACTAATTCCAAAACAACAACCCCCATTGCCCCAGTCACTGTATCATTCCACCTTGTCTTGGATCTTCCTCTCCTGCTCTGTCCCTCCACCCTTCCGTGCATGATGTCCTTCTCCAAGGACTGGCCACGTGCCCAAAGTAAGTGAGATGGAGCTTCAAAATCCTAGCCTCCAAGGAGCAACCTGCTTTCACCCTCTCCAAGGCAGACCTATTGTTGTTGTTGTTGTTGTTGTTGTTGTTATGTGCCATCAAGTCGCCTGTGACTCGTAGTGACCCTATGTACAACAGCCCTAAACCCTGTTCTATCCTGTGCCAATCTCACTGTCTCTGACATTCCCATCCTGATTACCCCAGTCACTGACTGAATCAATCCACCTCGTAGAGGGTCTTCCCCTCCTACGCTGTCCCTCCACCCTCCCAAGCATGATGTCCCTCTCCAAGGACCTCTCCCTCCTTTCAACATGTCCAAAGTATGATAGATTGAGCCTCAGAATCCTTGCCCCCAAGGAGCCTCCTGGTTTAACCCTCTCCAGGATGAATCTGTTTGTTTCCTTGGCAGTCCATGGTACATTCAATACTGTTCTCCAGCACCACAGCTCAAAGGCATCAGTTCTTCTATCCTCCCTAGTCATTGTCCAACTCTCTGGCACATAGCAAGTGATTGCAAAGCTTTACTAAATTGGCACTGACTCATGGTAACCTCATGTACAATAGGACAAAGCATTGCCTGCCAGCTCCTGAACCCTCTTCATAGTCACTGGTGTGCTCATACATGTTGCACAGCTTGTTGTCCTTTGAACTCTTCTTAGTTCCCCCGCCCCCATGGCTTTTGTTTGTTTTATATATATGTGCTCCCTCCTCCTCTAATCCCCTTCTATTTCTTTGCTTTATTTACGATAATTTCCATTGTCTTCAAGTCAGACACCCTGGTAAGACAGTGGTTAAAGCTCTTAGCTGCAAACCAGAAGCTTGGTTTTTCAAACCACCAGCCATTCTGTAGAAAAAAATATAGGCAGTCAACCCTACTCTGTTACATAGGATCACTGTGAGTTGGAATCTGGGCACCAATAGATGGGTCTTCCAGTGTTTATTCTGCTAAGCCCATCAGATTTCTTTTTCATTTCAGTTTCATTTTTACAGTTTCCATTTCTCTGCTCGCTTTCATTTATGTGCTCAATTTTGTTGTAGTTATGAGGATTCCGAGCTGGGCTGTTCATGATCCTATTTGTAAGCCACAAAGAGTTACTTAATTTGAATAAAATCAAATCAAATCATTAGTTCCTCAGTTATGCTAGTCACATTCTAAGAGCTCAGTAGCCCCTATCGTGGGCTAGAGGAAGTCACCTTGGACAGCACAGATGTAGAACATTTACCTCCTGGCATTCATGTATAGCATTCTTCTGTCACCAGAATCGTCTTCTGATCTGTTCCATAGCTGTAAGATGTCTTCCTTTGTCATTATGGGAAGAAAATGAAAAGCTTTGTTTTCTCAACTGTGTTTAGTGGAAGGTAAAAAAGGGTCACAATGACAATCTTCCTTTTTATCTTCTTGAAAGGTCATGAGGGACTTTAGCAATGAAATAAGAAACGTGAGGAATAAGACAAGGAGGGGTGTGTGTGTACTGTTTTTCTCCCATGTCACCTTTCTGGGTGTGCTGTCATCCTTATACCTGCCTCTAGAGTCCTCATTAGTTCCATTCTCCTGGTGTAGAGTTGATGACTCTGTTTTCTGACTCTGTTTCCTAGAAGTTTCATACAATTGCTGTTTGGGGAATTGTTTTAGAAGTGGCTGTTAATTGCTTCTCCTAGGAGAAGGTGGAACAGTGTTTGACTGCGTGCTGGCTGTTGGCTCCAGAGAAACTTCACCTTCTGCAGGCTCCACACCTGCCTCCCTTCATCCAGCTGGCAGCTGTAACAGCCTCTTTCGTCCTCAGAAAGTTTCCTCCACAAAACCTCGGCTTGTGCCCGCTATGCCCCCATCAGCTGAAAACCAGTCCACCTCAAGAAGCCCCTGACTCAGGGTAGAGCCATACTGCAGAGGGGAGCAGTGAAGAGTGCCCCAGAGTTTGCCTGGGGTGAGGATGAAAGTGTGGGTGGGGATTGGGCTGGGGAAGGGACCTGCCAGGGCTGGGCTGGCAGCAAGGACAGGCCTCTGGGAGGAGTGTGTGGTGTCTTCAGATGCTTAAAACTCACCATGCCCAATAGACTGGCTTTGACCAGTACCTTAGGAACTCCTGCCCTTCCACTGCAAGATGACAAGCGCCCTCATCTCTGATGTGAAGAAGGGTCCTTATGAGAGTTAAACGATTTCTTCCAAGGACATCTGCATCAGCTTTCCTTCCCCTTGTGCAAGATAGAATCAAAAGTATAGTTGATTCAGAGGAAAGTTGGAAAACTCCTGTGGGTAACTGGCAAAGTCAAGGTTTTGAGCAGTGACACAGAGCCCTCACTGCCCCCTCGATCCCCTTCTGTCCTCATGTTCGAGACGGAACAGCAGAACTCTGCTCTTGGCCCTCATTAGAGTGGAGGTGAGGACAAGACTGTCGTTTAATCCCAGTCTTACAAAGAGTTGCCCAGTAAACCTGAGGACCTACACTGCCAAGCCCCCTGACTCAGAAAGGGTTTGTTTTCACCTTGTGAAGAGTCACCCTGGCCCCTCCATTCCTGGGTGCAGCCAGTGCGCCACACAGCTGGCCCTCCCTCGCGTGACTGGAGCCTGTGGGGGTGCCTGATCAGAGAGAGTTGCAACTACAGTGAGTCACCGTCTGGGCACCGCCCTCCCTGCCTCCTTCCCAGGGATTAGAGATCAAAGCAATCCAACCTCCACTGCCAAGCTGCATGCATGGCCCAATCCAGCCTGGACCAACCACATCCATCCATGACAGTGGGCTCAGGACCCAGACCAGCTATGAGGCAACTAAAGGTAACCCTGGACCCAGCATGGAGGGGTGTGGGCAGCCTGTAACCTTGTCACCTTCCTTGGTGCTGCTGCTGTCTTGCCTGACCACTCCTATCCCATCGCTAGTTGATAAAACACTAAATGACTGAGAGAAACTGCCTCTTAATATTTTAAGCCACTTTGGAAGGAAAATGAGTGTCCCACTTCAAGCAGAGAAAGGCTTAGCCTAGAAGCTTCCTGCATCCAGTGAGGTAAGTCAACCACACATTGAACATAAACTCTTCTTACCACAGCCAAACATACAGATATCAAGGAACCTCCCACAGACCTCAGGCTCTGGGCAGAAGGAGAGGTGGGAAAAGCACCGGGTGAGGGAAGAGCCACAGCAGTGATTCCAACCAGCCTCTGCAGCCAACCTTCCCTCATGACCTCTGAGTCCACAGTCCCCCCAGCTTGGAGAAGCCTCAGGAACCTTCTTCCTGTCATTGCCCCCTTCTGGCTCCATCATGTCATGATTCACGCTCCTTGTCAGAGATACGGAACCAATAGCCTGATTAAAGATAAATATCAGTAGCACGAGGCACATGTTTAGGTCATGGTTCAAAGGTTACCTGCGCAGGTTGGCTGCTTAGTAAGTTATCCACTGGAGGAGTGGGGCCCCATGTCCCGTCATGTTTCACTGAAATGTGACAGGAGCCAGCATTTTGGCACCCAGGAAGGAGTTTATTTCCTGAGGAGGAAAGAAAACTTTAAGATGAATTTTAAATTCTCTTTGCCTCCAATTTTTCCCTATGGAAACTTCTACTCTCCCTTTTTAAATTTGGGTTTTTTTTCTACATAGACACAAACTCTTACCATTTCCTGAAATTATCCTTGACTAATATTTGATATAAAAATAGCTTTTGACATACTCACCTGGTGGAGAAATTACCATGATCATGAAGGTGGTTTTCCCAAGGCAAGGCTTATCTATTGCACTCAGTTGTGCTGACCTCTGTGATTTCCCCAAATGTGGGATACTCAGCTGCATAATATGTGGTAGTGGGGAGCTGTGTTTATGTAAAAACAAACAAAAAACTTTTTGCATAGGTATAAAAATGTTCGTATAAAACACAATGTCTATGAATGAGCTCTGGTGACCTCAAGGCAAGAAGCTGCACTGCAATCCCAAAGACATGTGCTTTGACGCCACCAGCCACTCCACAGGAGAAGCATGGGCGGTCTCTTCCTGTGAAATTAACTGCCTCTGAAAATCTACCGGAGGGTCAGCTATGGGTTGGTTCTGACTTGACAGTACACTCAACAACATATGATTGATAGTGCAAAACCAATTAAAAAATATATATATTAAAAAATAGCTATTAAGATGCTATTGTCTTGTTCATCTTTTGAAATTTTGTTGCCAAAAGCCTTCCTATGTAACATTGCCAACACAGGGAGCATTTAAGTTGAAGGACAGGCCTGGGATGGGCATGAGGGATGCTGAGTGATAGCACTCAGTAGCAGGTGGTCCTGTCCTTTTGTTGGGCTGTCCCAGAACTATCTAGCTGCTCAGCAAGTGAAAGTGAGTATCCGTAACTTCTGATTCTCTCAGCTGCAAGATACTCATCTTCCACAACTCAGCCAGTAAGGAAAGTATATTCTCTCCCATGAGGAGGTGGGTTGCAGATGCCAGGCTCAGTTGCCATCCAGTTCTCTTCTCTCTGCTCTACCAGCTTTAACGGGTTGGCTTTGTCTCCTTCCCTGAAGGTGTATAGCATTAGATGGCATTTTCCCCATTTAGACACAGCCCCACCCACTTCTGTTGAGTCAGACTTAACACCCTCCCTTGGGTTTCTGATACTCTATGTCTTTACACGAGTAGACTGTCCATCTTTCTCAGCTCCCAGGAGTGGTTAGTAGATATAGACTGCTGACCTCCCAGTTAGCAGCCTGATATCTTGTGCCATCAGGGCTACTTATACAGATACAAAGTAGATATATGTCATCAAGTTGGAACTCTTAGTTGACCCTCTAGTGAATTTTTGGAGCCTGTAAATCACACAGAAAGAGATTGCCCATCTTTCTCCTTTTTAGAGTGGCTGTTGGACTCCAACCAGGTACTTTGGGTTGGTAATGCAATTCCTTACCACTAGGCCACCAGAATACCCTATACAGACACAATAGATATTAATAAATTCAAGAATCCAGATAATAATGAAATGTAATAACTAGGAAGCAGTAAGTTGACTTTATCACTTGTTTTCATAATATTATTGTTGTCATTGTTAAGTATGTCAAGTCAGTTCTGATTTCTAGAAATCTATGTACAACAAAGGAGGGTGGCACAGAATAGGACAGTGTTCAGATCAATTGTTCATAGGGTTTCTGTGAGTCATACTCAACTCAACTGTACTGTTTTAGAAGGAGCAGAAGATAGGACATAAGGACACAAAATTGTGAGCGTCTCTCCTAAAAGGCCAAAAGGAGTAAGAATAGCACAGCCCCTCACTGCCCCAGAATCAGAAAGCAGATAAAGAGCCCATAACCCAGCTCCATGGTGCCTGTAGAGCCCCACCAGCAGCAAGAGGTTCATGTATTCTTTGTTGACTCTCAGACTCACAGTTGTGGAACTGGTGGATTCCAGCTTCCAGAGCAGCACCACTTTTTTAGTTACTGCACAATTCCCTACAAACCAGAACTCCACTACAGGGTGATTTAGTGGAAAAGAAATGCAACCCTGACAACATACTTCCCCGATTTTAAACCATGTACTATCTGTCCTTTTTTTTTTTCTATTTAAAATTCTCTGTTGGTCTGTGTTCAAGTTCCACATAGCACACTTAAGTATTTTGGAAATCCTATTCTTTGAATTGCTTCCCATAATTTTCTGTGATCCACATACTAGAATGCCTGCTCATAGAAAATAAAACATAGGTCACCCATCTTTTTGGTACTCTTTGCTTTCAGCCAAGATCTATCTGACATAAGCAGTGATATTGCATGTTCCACATCATGTTCTGAATCTGTACTGAATTTCTGGCAGTTCTTTGTCAGTATTGCTACAACTGTTTTTAAATTCTCTTCAGCATCATTATTATGAATTATATTATTTGATAATTTCTGCATTACATTAGATGTTTCTTTATATGGAAACATGGCACATATATGGATTTCTTCCTGTTGGTTGTCCAGTCAACTGTCTTCCACATCTTGGTATAGATGCATAAGCACTTCTAGTATCACATATGCTTGTTGAAACATCCCAGATGGTATTCCATCAGTGTCTGGAACCTTGTGCTTTGCCAATGCCTGGAGTGCACCTTGGACTTCTTTCTTCAATACCATTGGTGTTTGATCAAATACAACCTCCTGATATGATTGAGTGTTGACCAATTGTTTTTGCTACAGTGATGTTGTATATTTCTTCAAACTCCCTGCATCATTGAGCATTTTGCCCTTAGAATCCTTCAACATTGAAATTTGAGGCTTGAATTTTTTTCATACATTCTTTCTGCTTGAGAAATTCCAAGCCTGTTCTTCCCTTTTGGTTTTCTAGCTCGAGGTGTTCATGCATTTTATTTCATATTTTATCATCTGGAGCCAGTATGAAATATTTTGGTCAGCTCTTTTACATTATCATTTTTTGTTTTCATTAGTTGTGTTATATTCAGGGGTAAGTTTTGTAATATCTGCTAATATCCACTTTGCTCTTTTCTTCTTTCTTTTTTTAAAACAAAATTTTGTTTTTGATGTCCTTGATATTATTACATCAAGGATCTTTAAGTTCTTTATTCACTTTATGTTCAGTGTATCACATCTGTTCTTGAGATAGTCTGTAAATACAGGTCCAATATACTCAATATTGTACTTAGACTTTTATGGACTTGTTTTTATTTTCTTTAGCTTCACTTTGAACTCGCATATAAGCAATTGTTGATCTGGTCTATCAGTCCTTGGCCTTCTTCTGACTGGCAATACATATTGAACTTCTCCATCATTTTTTTGCACAGATGTAGATTTCAATCCTATGAAGACCATGGATGTAGTTGTCATTTATATTACTGAATTAAGGTGTTTCCAATAAAAAAGTCATCTGGTCTATAAAAAAAATACATGTTATGAGACTTCTAGTGTTGTTTCTCTTACCAAGGCCATATTTTCTAGTTATTTTATTTCCAGCTTTCACCTTCCAATCACAATTGTTCTTGTGTACTGACTGTCAGATTTTATCTGATCCATAGCTAACCCTTCAATGCATTTTCAGAGGCAGTTAATCACACAGGAGGAGATGGCCCATCTTTCTCCTGTGGAGCAGAAAGTGGATTTGAACTGCATACCTTTGAGTTACCAGCATAATTGCTTACCACTAGCCACCATCTGTACATAGGGTTTTCAGAGGCCTGCTACTTCAGAAGTGAATGGCCAATCCTTCTTCCTAGTCTGTCTTAATCTGAATGTTTAGATTTAGAGGAATATCTGACAGACAAGCAATTTATGGAGCAGTGAAAGATAAATCCCTCATTGCTGTGGTGCTGGAGAAGAGTATTGAATGTGCCATGGACTGCCAAGAAAACAAACTGATTCATCCTGGAGAGGGTTAAACCAGGCTACTCCTTGGAGGCAAGGATTCTGGGGCTTCGTCTGACATACTTTGGACATGTTGTAAGGAGGGACGGGTCCTTGGAGAGGGACATCATGCTTGAGAGGGTGGAGGGACAGCGCAGGAGGGGAAGACCCTCCATGAGGTGGATTGATTCAGTGACTGGGGTAATCGGGATGGGTCTGTCAGAGGCAATGCGATTGGCACAGGATAGAGCAGGGTTTAGGGCTGTTGTACACAGGGTCGCTATGAGTCACAAATGACTCGGTGGCACATAACAACAACAACAGCCACCATCTGAAAGCTGGACAATGAATAAGGATGACAGAAGATGAGTTGATGCCTTTGAATTGTGGTGATGGAAAAAAGTGCTAAATATCCCATGGAATGACAAAAGAACAAATATGTCTTGGAGAAGGTACAGCCAGAATTCTCCTTGGAGGTGAAAATAATGAAGCTTCATCTCACATGCTTTGGGCATGTTGCTAGAAGTTATTCCTTGGAGAGGGATGTCATGCGTGGAAGGATGGAGGGATAGTGATGGAGAGGAAGACCTTTAACCAGATGGACTGGCACAATGACTGCAGCAGTGGGTCTAAGACTGTGAAGATCGCACAGAATAGGACAAGGTTCAGATATGTTGTTCACAGAATCCCTGTGAGTGGTACATAGCTTGACAGTGCCGAACAACAGCAACAAAGCCACCAGTGCTGCCTCTCAGTGCATCTTTATTGCATATTTGGTCTATTTAATATTACAGAAGTTGGTAAAAATCTTCAACTCCATCTTTGTCGATTATCATTTGTTGTTGTGTACCATTGAGTCAGAAATGACCCAAGCCGACCCTCCAGTGGGTGTTCAGAGGCAGTGAGTTTTCATGGGAGGAGATTGCCCATCTTCCTCCTGCAGAGCAGCTGGTGGATGGATTAGTACCATGTGTCTTCAGGATTTCAGCTTCTTACTACTAGGCCACCAGAGCCCCTATCTTGGTTGTTAGTGGTTGATATAAATTTGGATGTTGTTGTTGTTGTTGTTACATGCCACTGAGTCAGAACCAACTCATAGCTGACCCTCTAGTGGGCTGTCAAAGGCAGTAAATCACATGGAAGCTGACCGTCATATTTCTCCCGTGGAGCAGCTGGCGGATTTGAGCCTCATGGCTTTGGGTTGACCGACAACTCCTTAACCCTAGGCCACCAGAGCTGCCTAATTTGAATAGTGGTTGTATTAACTGATGTTACTTTTGGGAATATGGGTTATTATCCTGACACTGAGAGTGTTGACTTTAGGCTAAATCTTGAAATCTTCTTTTTCACAATAAATGTTACACTCTTCAATGTGTCATCTTCAACATAGTAGATAATTTTGACTCAAAATGGCCAGACTCGGTCCATTTCAGCTCATTAATGTCTAGAATATCAATCTTCATGTATTTTGTTTCACTTATGGCAACTCTCAATTTCCCTAGATTCATACTTCACAGTCTGTGTTTCTCACATCAATAGGTATTTGCAGTTGTTGCTTCTTGTTTTGAGTTGTACCACCACATCGGCATGTGCAGGTCCTCCGTCTTCATCACTGAGGTGACCCTTCTCTGAGGAGCAAATCTTATTTTGAGTGCTTTACAACCCGAGAAGTTCATCTTTCAACTTGCATCAGACAATGCTGCACTGGTGTTTTTAAGGTTTTCACCAAACATATAAAAAAAATAGATTGTGAGGTCCATCTTTTGAGTCTGTCTCAGTCTGGAAGTGCCCCTGAAATCTGTCCACTATGGATGGCCTTGATGGTATTTAAAATACTACTTCCAGGATCATAGTAATGTACAAGTCACTATGGTGCAACAAGCTGAAAGGAGGAAAAGAAGTTGAATAAGTATTTTCCCCAAAATAAATATAAATGACCAGTAAGTGAATTAAATATTGCTCAGTGTCTTTAACTATTTTTTATTATTCTTAATTTTAATGAAAGTTTACAGAGATTTTGGATTTCCGTTCATTCATTGTTACACTTTTCTCCCTGCCCACCCTTCCCCCCCACCCCCACCAGTTCACTCTTCTCTTTGAAAAGTAAAATTCTTTCATTGTTATACAATCCCTCCCCCCAAGTCCACTACTCCACTATGCGGCCTGTGTTCTGGACTCCTGTCAATGTCACTATTAAACTCATTGCCATTGAGTCGATTCTAGCTCATCGCAACCCTCAGTCCAGTTTCCAGGGTTGTAAATCTTATAGGAGGAGAGTGGCCATCTTACTCCTGTGAAGCAGCTGAAAGATCTGAACCAGTGAGCTTTCAGCTAGCAGCTTGATATGTTATGTAGCACACAGATCAAAACCACAGCTCGATAGCATTTCTCATCCAAAAAACCAGCTAGAACAGTATATCATCAAGGAAATTCAAGCTGCATTCAGAAAAGGCCCTGGTATAAGAGTTATCATATGGATTTTGGCTGACAATAGAGAATACCAGAAAGATACTTATCCTATGGGATAACACATATTGCCACCATTCTTCCCCTGAGAGAG